CCCCCCCCCCCCCCCCCCCCCCCCCCCCCCCCCCCCCCCCCCCCCCCCCCCCCCCCCCCCCCCCCCCCCCCCCCCCCCCCCCCCCCCCCCCCCCCCCCCCCCCCCCCCCCCCCCCCCCCCCCCCCCCCCCCCCCCCCCCCCCCCCCCCCCCCCCTCCCCCCCGCCGTTCTCTTCCTGTCTCTGTGCATCTGACTGCTCCAGGGGCCTCCTACAAGTGGAGTCACAGTGTTTGTCCTTTTGTGCCTGGCTTATTTCACTCAGCATAATGTCCTCAAGGTCCATCCGTGTTGTGGCAGGTGTCAGAACTTCCTTCCTTTTTAAGGCTCAATAATATTCCACTGTGTGGATAGACCACATTTAGTTTATCCATTCGTCTGTTGGTTATTGTGAATAATTTGCTAGGAATATTAGTGTACCGTTCACCTAGGATATTTTTGAAGAATGTTCACATTTAACCTCTCCAAGATTTTATTTTTATCTAGATGTCCTTGATATCTCGATACCGCCTCACATGGGAAGGTGGAAACATACATTTTCTAAAAAGTTGTTTATCATCTCAGAGGAATTTAATTCTTCAATATTATTTCGTGTAATACAAGTAAAAACAATGTCATGTTGTCATAACACCTAATTTGTGAAAGTGCTCAAAAGAGTTAAAGCTCAGAATAACCAAATATGGTGAGTTTTAGTTTATTGTACAAGAGAGTTTGTTTTAATCTTAGGAGTTACTGTTCAGTCATAATTTTTATATTTGTAATTTTTTAACATAGCCAACCTGAAAATACATTAAGCAGATCGAAAGTTAGATGTCGATCTTTTCAACTGAGAGTGGGAGAAAAGTAGAGACGCTGAAGAGAAAGTCATGTATATGCCCCCATGCCTTTCCCTTTTGTAGTGACGAGGCTGAACTGTGGCTGTGTGGGCCATCTGGGAGAGTGGCTTTTGCAGATAATGACAATCCCCTGGTAAATTTCCACTGAACCCCAGTGAACCCTGAGTGAACTGCCTGGCTTACCTGTGAGCACATTTTAAGCCCAGGTTAACTTCCCGCCTGACCTGCTCTCAGTGGGAACATACATAAGGAACACAAAATAACGTTACTGGCAACTGGAGCAAATCAGCTTTACATAATAGCTGCAGTAGTAATAATTAATCTTGAGAATCCAGCTCCAAGACAAAAAGAAGTTATTTTTATCTGATTTTTAATGATTATCCAAGAGCTCAAGAGAAAAATTAACCCAGCAGCTTTCATTTATGTTAATGGGCAGGGTACAACCCCGTAAGTTCTTGAATCGAGAAAAATGTGTTAAGTTTTAATAGGCCACACGTGCATGAGTTACATGAAGACGTTCAATGAAGAAGTCGCCCTGTCTCCTCTGTCCCTGAGCCCCGGTCCCTCTCAGGCAGCCCCTACCTTGCGTCTTCTGTCAGGCCGTCTGGGCACACGCACATGTGATTTGTGAGTGGAGATGGTAGTAAACTGTTGACACTTTTCTACAACTTGTTTTTTACGCTTTTTTATCTTGGGAATTTGTGTCAATACAGATAGAGCTGCCTCGTCCCTTTTTTACAGCTGCATAATATTCCACCTAACTGTTTAGGTTGGCATTTTATATTGGATAATTCTAATAACCATTTATGTTGCAATACTGTATTTTTATTGATGGACATTTTTAACGGTATTGGAAAACATGATTTGGAATATGAATATGTTTGCCTGTGGAAGTTCAGAGAAGTGTTTCAACTATCAGCCCTTTGGAGGGAAGGATCTGGGCATCCTAGTTCTGGTTTATAATTTCACAGGGCCATTTTGTAACGCACAAAGTGACTTCTGCCATGCCTGTGCTGGCATACGGTTGAGGTAAGATGACTTTCTTTCTCTCACAGGTGTGACATGCACATGAAACAGCCTAGTCACCTGGGGAACCCAGGAGAGCTCAGCAGGGCCCCAGGGAACGTGTCGGGGAGTGAGGGTGCGCATGAGTGACATGGGGGGTGGAGTTGGGTGTGTGGGTCAGGGGAGAAGACGAGGGCACAGATGGTGAAGGGCCTCTCAGACCAGGCCAAGAAGGGAGAGTTTGAGGTGCCACCGACGGAGTTTCACTGCAGATGAACGTGGTCACATCTCCATTGGAGAAGAACCCCTCTGACGGCAGCAGGAGGGCTGGGCTGGAGGGAGGAAGGACAGGGTGCGGGGGCTGCTGTCATTCCTTGGTTTGTGGCTGCATCGCTCCGGTCTCCTAGGCCAGCATCTTTGCATCTCTCTCTGCTCCATCAGCGCCTCGCCTTCTCTCCGTATCTGACTCAAACCCCGCTTGACCACTCTCTTCTAAGGACAACTATAATTGCATTCAAGGCCCACCCGGATAATCCAGGATAATCTCCCCATCTAAAGAGCCTTAACTTCATCACGTCTGCAAAGTCGCTTTTTCCAAGTAAAGTGAAATCTGCAGGTCCCAGGGATTAGGACCTGATATATCTGGGGGCCGTTATTCAGCATCCCTCAGATGCCATTCACTGAGGGTTAGTGGAAGAGGAGCAGGTTTGGGGGGAAGACGACAAATGACTAGTCCATGATGACCCAGCAAGGTAGGAACATGGACCCCGTGCCCCTGCTCTTTCTCCTGCCTTGTGCTAACTGCGCACATGAGTCCACAAGTGGACATGGCTAAGAGCGTCCCCTTGGAGACTAAACCTCTCAAAGTAGTAAAACCACCACCACAAGAAGAGCAGGGCAAATAACCGTTTTTGAAGCCAGGCTTCTCCAAAAATGGCTTGTAAGTATGTTGCAGACAGAACTAGCGTCCTGCTTCTTGAAACCAACCAGATGACCACAGTATTCTCACGCTCTATCTGCCGTAAAGAACACTATGACCTATTCACTTACATTGTAACTAAACGTCCGTCTCGGAACTGTTCAGGAAGGCCCCTGGAAACATCAGACTGCTTAGGGAACACCAGAAGACCCTTATGTCCACAGGGTGGGTGACATTGCCGTGACAAAGAGTAGAGCTTTGCTGGTAATTGATGACATGAGAGTTAATAAAATGCAGTACTCCGGATACCCATGGAACAGGTAACTGCATTTGTACCACTTAAGAAAATTGTTCTGAACCGTGGGTCTCCTAGATCTTGACTTCAGCTGTCCCCACCTGATTGTTGAGAGTTACATGAATATCCTGGCCTTGGCTGAGGCTGTCTCAGCAAATGTACTCTTCCCCTAGGCAAGAAATGAAGGAGTCCACGTTTTAAAAACCGAAACCAAAGAAATGAAATGAGGAGGGAGGGAACTTGCTGCTTTTGAATGTTAAGAACAGATTACATATTTTTCGTGTGACTTCTAAACGACTTTATCAGTTAAATAATTCTCTACATTTATGATACGGGCCATTCTTCCTACTGAAGTTAAAAGCCGATGGAAATGTGTCTGCCAAGTATTCCCACTTCAAAAGGAAAGGTCCTGGTGCTTTGATGTGAGCAGCACCTCATCCATCTTTCTGCACAGTAGAGTTCATGCCCATCTAGGCTTTGTGATAGCCTTTGAAAGCACGCCTCCTTTCTCTAAAGCCTTGGGGCAGGTTTACTCCACACAGCTTTTTGGATCAGGGATAATGATAGATCTTAGACAAAGTGTTGGGTACAATAACATCTATTTTACGTTTATAGTCTCACTGGATTTGTGATGAGTACTTCCTACAAGAACCATCCTTTCTTTCATCTTGTGTGTGTGACTTTCCAAGGCTGGGAAAAGCCCTACGTGTGAATTACCCCTATCATGCAATGAAATATTTTGTTCAAGGAAATAAAATTCAGAGTAAATGAGGAACTAGGTTTCTATTTATAGAAACCTATTTCAAGTACTTTAAAAAAATATTTTGCAAATCCAAGTACACTTGGAATGTATCACCCTTTTTGGATACAACTGTTAAAAGCAGGAGGTTGTGCTCTGCCTTTTGAAAAAATAGTGACAAGTTTTAAGGTAGTGATCACAAATGAGATGAAGAACAATCCAAAGAGGATGGTTCTTATGTCTGAGGAGCCTGATGGGAGGCAGGAGGTGAGGTCAAACACACGTGCCAGCCAAGGAACGTGGACTTGAGCCCTCGAAGAGCCCTAAGCAGAGCAGGAACAATTACTTCGGTGGCCACGTGGAGAATAGACAAGAGCAACAAGGCGGCGGGCGGTTGGCCAGGAAATGTAGAGTGTCTTAAATACAGCACTGAGGGTTGGCATGAAGACAAAGGGACAGGTTCCATAAGTATTTAGGCGGTAAAATTCGTGTTTGGGCGACAAAAAGGGAGAAGGTGAGTTTTATCCCTTATTCTCAGCGTGCCTGGCTTATCTCAAGGGCTCAAGGTAGAGGCAGGTAATCAACGACTACATTTCCCATAGTCCTTAGGGCAGGATCGCCTTCGTTTCCCAGAGGGCTGTGCGATGTTCGCCCTCAGCGTCGTGGAAAAAAGGCAAACGAGAGGGGATGTACTCTTTAACGTTGCTTTATAACCAAGTTTCCCATCCTTCGCTCTTCTATCCCTCTTCTCTGTCTCCAATGCCTCTTTTCTTTGGGCTTCAGGAGCCCAAATACCCCGGGACTCGTCTCCTGGGCAACGTTACCGCTTCGTTGCCGCGCGACCACAAGCGGAGTGTGCTCGGAGCCTTCTGGGAAATGTAGTTCGGCCTCCCCGGGGCCCCGGCCCAGACTAATGGCTCTGCCTCCTCGGGCCCCAGAACCAACGGCTGGATGTGCGGTCACGTGACCGGCCCGTCTGGAAGCCGGGGGAGTGGGGGCTGTTCTGCGCCAGGCCACCAGCAGGCCCAGGCCGCGGAAGGTCGCAGAGCCGGCGCCGGCCCGTCTCCGTGGTAACCGGCTCGCCGCAGAGGCCTCTGGGAATTGTAGTTGGGCGGGGTGGGGCCCGCGCCGCTGCCGTTAGCGCTCGCCGCCGCGGTGAGAGCGGGCGCGGTAGCCGCAGCCCGGCCCGGCCTTCGGCGGCGAGGGTTCCCGGCGTCCGGGGCGGGCTCCTCCGCGGTACCGCGGCCACCGAGCATCCCGGCAGGTGGGCAGCCGCCCGGAAGGGCGAGGTGGCGGCCCCATCCGCCTTGGGCACCTCCCCGGCCCGCCCCCTCCGGCCCGGGCGCCCACCCTCGGCGGGTCTCCCGAGGGTCCCTGGGAGGGAGTATTTGGGGGCGTTTGCGTGGACTCACACGGTGCATCGTAGTGATGAGAGGGGTGTCCGAGTGGATCCAGTCCAGTCCTGTTCCGTTAGAGAAGCGGGAACCAGGCCCGGGGAGAGCCAATGATTTGCCCCTAATGCAGGACCGGTCTCGGGGCTGCCTGCGCACCCCTTTATTTCCAGCGCGAGGCACAGTGCCTGGCACGGAGCAGGCGCTCGAGCGTTTGTGAAGTGTCATTTCGTTCTTAGACAAACACTTCAACAAATAAATTACAAGATAAACAAGATTCTTTAAGAGGGAAATGGACCTGTAGACCAAGAGATTTATCAGCCAGATGCAACGTTTATACCTTGTCCAGATCACGATTCTAACAACCAACCGTGAAATTTTTTAAAAATGAGGGAAATGTGAACATTGATGATATTTAAGGAATTATTCTTTAGAATTTTTAGTTGCGATAACGCTACTGGGGTAATGCTTTAGAAAGGAGAAGAGTTTTAGAGACACACACTGCAGATTTTATGGATGAAATGATGTGAGATTTGTTGGAAAAATGTCCAGTGTGGTGGGGGGGAGACGAGGAGCAGAGGAAAGGCGATTGGCTGAATGTCCATAAGTGCTAGAGATGCGTGCACGGAGAACACTAAACTATTCTACCATCATATATGTTCAAAACGTATTACATATGTTTTTTAAGTGTAATTTTAATCCTGTCTGCTAGAGATACATGCTGAGTTATCTATCAGAAAAAACGTCTGATGTCTGGGATTTGCTTAAAATACTACACACACACATACACAAACAGTGGTGGGGCATGAAGGAAACAAGAATGGCAGAAAATGAATGGCGTTGGAAGCTGGGAGATGGGTACATGAGAGTTCATTGTATTTATTATATTCTCTTTAGTGACATTGAAAATTTCCATCATCAAGGAGTTTTGTTTAATTTTTTTAAATGTATTTTATATGTTTCAGAAAGTTTTTGAAATATAAAGAAGCATTTCTCTGAAATTTAACCCTCCCACAGTACAAGTGACCTTCCTTGGGGACTTTTCCAGCCAGGAATGATCACAGCCGCGAGGGGGTCTGTATCCTTGGACCCCCAGGCCCCTCAAAAGCAGGACAGAATTGTGGTGGTGAAGGTGGAGGCAGAGGGCCACTTTATCCTCGCAGCCGGGAGCTGGCCCACGCGCGCTTCAGACGGTTCTACCACCAGGAGACCAGGAGATTTGCCACCCGGTGAGGTTCTGCGATGCCCCCATGAGCTCTGCCACCAGGGGCTGAGGCTGGAGAGACATCGCAAGCTGCCCATCCTGGAGCTGCTGATGCTGGAGCAGTTCCTGGCCATCCTGCCCCCGGGGCTGCAGAGCTGGGGCTGGGAGCGCCCTGGGCCGTGGAGAGGAGCTGGCTATGACGGTGAGAGCTCAGTGAGCCGGGCCGGTGGGTAGGAGAAGAGAGAACTAATGTGTGCAAATAGGGAGGGTCGGTCCTCCGAAGAAAACTAAGGCCCAAGCCATTCTCGCCCAACACTGCGTCTCTCCATTCCTCTTACCTCTTCCCTTTGACCTTTGGGGCATAAATTAGAATTTGGATGATTTCCTGGGGTGGTTTTTTTCTCTGATGTTCTGATTCTCATTGTTACTTGGGAATGCTTCGTTTAAATCGTTGTTTAAACCCCTGATTTTTAAATCATACTCTACAGAAACTAAAATATATACTCTTCTTCTACAATACAGAATTAAGTACAAGTTTCCCGTTTCTGGCTGAACCTCCCACTCTGGGTGCTCCATTTCCACTGACTTCTTGGGACCTGGAGAGAAGTATAGGCCGACTGTGTCCCTTCTGTTAGACTAACCGTGGGGCCCTGAGGCGTGTCGTCTTTCCACATTCTGTTCTTAGCAAGCTTTTATCTCTCGGAACACAAATCCAGCAGACGCCTCGGCCTCATCCTCATGAGGGACCGTGAGCGGGGGCCACCCAGCTCTGTGGCTCCCAGATTCCCGCCCTCAGAGACTGTGCGAGATCTGTCGTGTGTGTGTGTGTGTTGTGTTCAGCTGCTGAATTTTAGAGTAATTTGTTACGCAGCAATGGAAAACTGATACAAGTGTTCTAACAAAGGATTTGGGTACGGTTTCCAGGTTTTAGAAGCCAACTGGGAGAGGTAGGTTGGATTCAGAAAAATGAATTTCTGGGCTGTTCTCATGGCTTTTGAGAACGACTGGACAGAATATTTGAAACTAGGACATATAGGGAAAAATTTAGGAAATGTCATATCAGTAGATTCAAATTATATTTAATGTAACTCAGTTATTTAGGTTTTAAAATTATTTTATGAAAATTTAATTTGAAATCATTAAATTGTACACTTTAAATATATGCTTTTTTTTTTTTGCTGAGGAAGATTCACCTTGGGCTAACATCTGTGCCAGTCTTCCTCTATTTTGTATGTGGGTCACCACCACATTATGGCTGATGAGTGGAGTAGGTCCACGCCCTGAGAACTGAACCCCAGCTGCTAAACCGGAGTGCACCAAACTTAACCACTAGGCCACAGGGCTGGCCAAATAGATGTAATTTTTTCTTTTCTTTTTTGAGGAAGATTAGCCCTGAGCTAACCACTGCCGGTCCTCCTCCCTTCTGCTGAGGAAGCCTGGCCCTGAGCCGACATCTGTGCCCATCTTCCTCTACACATGTGACGCCTACCACAGCATGGCTTGCCTAGTGGTGCCATGTCCGCTGCCAAGATCTGAACCGGTGAACCCCGGGCCGCCAAGAAGCGGAACGCATGAACTTAATCGCTGCACCACTGGGCCAGCCCTAGATGCAAGTTTTAATTCTCATCTATACTTCAATAAAGTTGGGCAAAAATCTTTTAAATAAAATAAATTTTAAAAAATTTACATTATCTCTGGGAAATAGGATTATGAAGGACTTTGAACATTTTTATTAAATATGTAATGTTTATTTTTTGCAATGAACTGATGTTGCTCCATAATCAGAAAAGAATAATTTTTAAAGAAATATGCTGGAGGGAAAAGTCTAACAAGACATCTTCTAAAAAGAAAAAAAGCAAGTAATTTCCTTATTTCCTTTAAAGCTCCCAATTTTCTTAATTCTCTTCAGGACCGGAAGTTTCCTGGGGGCAGAGGGCATCTCCACCACCGGCACAAGAACCACCACGCGTCGGCACAAGAACCACCACGCGTCGCCAGCTTCAGCCAGTGACACCCAGTTCAAACGCAGATCTTGGGAGCTCCACCCCCTCCAAGCCAGTGGTAAGAGGCAGCTTCCCCTGGGGAAGAGATTGGGGTCCTCGTTCCTTCTTCCTGGGTCCTCCTGTGCTGAAAAGCAGGACAGAACATCACAGCTTACAGATCTGTGCTGGGAGCCGAGTGTGATCATTGAACTAGCATGAGACCATAAGTGTGGAATGCAGAGAGGTACTGAGGTCATTGGAGGACAAGAAACAGAATGGAACCCCTCCGTCGTCTCAGTCATCCACAGGGGCCCCTGCCAGAGCTGAGCGTCCCTGTGGTGTGGTAGCTTTTTGGCCAAACCACGCTCCATGGTGTGGCTCACAGAGACCTTTCTTGACAATGAGATGATCTTGTCTTCTTCCCTCCATGTAGTCTGTACTCAGCGTTTGGAGGGAACCCAGGAGATCAAGTCACCTTGTTGGGTCTATGGAGGGGCCCTGCTCCAGGGCAAGGCAGGCAGTTGGGAATCAGGAGAACAGGCTCAATGAGGCATCTCCCCAGCGGGAGGGGGCAGCCGGCAGGGTGGAGGGGCTGGACGCGCCGCTGTCTCTCCCTCAGAGAGGAGTGGTTCCATCGCTGTTTCTGTTGCTGTAAATTCTCAGAACTCAGTACCTTCCTTTGTAACAGGACTGTAACGCTCCTTGCAAAGCCAAATATCCCCTACTAGGGGGTGCTGTTTTAGATCAGCAGTGCCAGCCTGGCCTTGCGTGAGCACCGGGGGCCAAGAGTTGACCTCCCAGATTTGGACGTGTCCGTGGACACCTAGTCGGGGAGCATCAGGTCCCTTCTCTTGGGAGTGTAGTTTGACTGAAGAGCTCCCCGAAATAAGTGACACACTCACAACTTCTAGCATCTCCTGTCACTGTTGGGATCCATGGGACACAGAAGGCGGGGAGGCCAAGGCAGGGATGACATTCATCTGGTGCCACCAGCACGGATGGACGGGTTGTGAAAGTATTGAAACGCTTCTAGACTGGTTGGTAAGCAGCTGCCGCTCTGTCCCTGAGTGCCCTGCCAGCCCTTTGGCCACCCGGTGATGCCCCCGATCCTCAAGACCTTCCCAGGGTCCACCCTTTAATGGTTATCACCAGGTCCCACCAGAGGTCTCCAGGTGAGACCAGCATCTGTTCTAATCAGTCAGTCTGGGCCCTACGAGTTAAGTGTTTGTAACATGCTCCTTGGCCCCTGCCTTGTGGCCCGTGCTCGTGAGGGACAGCTGAGCAGCACAGAGCAGCGAGACGGGCACTGGAACCAACTGGATTGGGGTCCTGCCTCCGCTGCGTACTAGCTGTGCCATTTGGGGCAAGTCCTTGAACTTCTCTGAGCCTCAGTTTCCTCATCTGTAAGCGTCAAATAAAATAATAGATGAGAACGTACTTTGTAAGCTACAACGTGCCCCCATGTAAAAGTTATTTTTTATTACCGTTTATGACATCTATGAGTCTTTGTCCAACACGGGACCGCACCCACAAAGCCAGCGTTCATCCCTCGGCCTCCGCTCCTTCCTTTTACCCTTTCTGCAGCTACTTCAACCTCTATCCCCTGCCGCCCTCCAGGGGACACCCAAGGACTCCACTCTGCTGAGGTCACAGCCTTGGCCCCCCTGGGACAGTGTCCTCAACCACCTGCCCACCGCGCCCTCTTCCTGTGTGGCCAAGTCATTCTCCCAGAAGCTTCCTTAGACTTCCCCTCCTGTCACCCCACTACCAAGCTTTTTCCTCCTCCTCTCCCCAGATTTGTAAAATAATAATTTGACAGGTTTTCGTTAATATAAAAGGAATACATGTTTGTGACAGAACATTGGGAAAATACAAATATGCCTGAAAGGAAAATGGAAGTAACTCATAATCTCACCGTATATATACTATTTTATAAGCTACTGTAGAAATATATATGATCATGAAATTCTTTTACAGCCTCATTTTTCATCGTGGTGTCACATGCCGCCGTTCATGTCATGGGTCCCCTGTGATCGGCAGGGGTTTTATCTCCACAGCCACCTTTGCACAGCAATAATATTTGGATTCTCTCCGTCTGGGTTCCGATGGTGACCTCAGGACTGAGGACGGCTTCAGCTCAGATCAGGAACTTGCTGAAGGAAGGCCTCCCCAGTGACTCAAGCAGACTCCAGGGAAGCTCTGCAGGCGCCAGAGCTGGGAGGCCCGCAGAATGTTCCAGGCCCTTGGGCTGCCTCAGGGAACCTCCCAGAGAGCAGGCTGAGCAGCCATCCTGCCCAAGAGAGGAGTTTCAAGCAGGAGAGAGAAGAGACAAGCCATGAAGGTGACAAGTGACAAGCCTGCAGGCCAGGTGAGCTCCTGGTTCCAGATTAGAAAAGACGTCCGGGCAAAGGCCACAGTGATGTCACACGTGTGGCTGTGGTCGAGCAGACACAGCCCTCGTTCAGCATCGGAGCCCACGCGGAAGAGAAGCCTCAGGTGTGAGCGGTGACAGGTCAGGAAGCTGTTACTTTGATGAGAAAAGGAGAGAGGCGGGACCACCATGGCCCTGAGCAGGGAAGCTGGTGTGTGTGAGCTGAGGGGCACGAAGGACACAGCTAGACACGGTCCCCAAACACAGGCCTTCTCTGCGTGGCTTCATCACCACCAGGTGTGTGCTCCCCAGGTGCCGAAGGGCAAGGGAGCTGGCCCGCTCAGCCACTCGTCACCAGGCCACTCAGCTCCCACATCAGCCACCTGGCCTCCACCTTAGTCCCTTCTTAGGCCACTTTTCTGTCACTTCTGCTCTTTTGTAAGAAACATAATACATTTTTTCTCTTCTCAACAAGCGTAATGCATGTCCATAACAGACACTTTTAAAATACATGTAAACAAAATGAAAAAAATCTAGTCACCTATTCCAGAATCACGGGTAACATGGAGTGTCTTTCTAGCATTTTTTCCTAAGCATATATATACATTTTCTCCATTTTTCAGGTTTCTCTAAAACCTAAAAAAAGAGGTAGGGAACCTCCCTGCAGCCCGACTTCCTTTCACCTGGGAGCCGAGAATGGGAACCAAGAGAAGGTGGGAACCGGCCTGTGTCTTGTGGACCCCGCCCTGGCGGCCTCAGGAGCAGGACCTCTTTCGGCCACCAGAGGGGGGTGTCTGCTCATGCACGTCTGTCCCAGTTTTCTCCTCGGGTCCAGGAACGGGCAGCTCCCCTGGAAGCCACCGTGGCCGCTCCTCGCTTTATTGCTCATTCTGCTCCCTGCCGCCCCGGGAAACCTTCTTGGTTCCTGAGGAGAAACAGACCAAACTCCCAGGCTCCCTCTGGACCGCGTCTGCCCAGATTTCCCGCAGCCTTGGACAGCTCTCCTCGCCGGTGCCGCCTTGGGCCTCAGAGGGAGGGGATGACCTGCTTCCCGTTGTTCTCAGGGTCGAGTCCCGAGGCCCTGGACGGCCCGGCCCCTCCCTGTTCCTCCCCCCCTCCCTCCACGTTGGGCTCCGTTTTCCTCACTTACACTACACTGGCCATCTTCCGGCTCCGTTCACTCTGTTCCCTCACCAGCTGACCCTCCCGCGTGTTGCTCTCGGGAAGGCGCCCCCCAGCCCGCCCCAGGCAGATGCCTGCTGTTCCAGGGCTTAGGTGACACGCTGCTTCTTCCCGGGAGTCGCTCCCAACCCCGCGAGTCTGGGATACGGGATTCTCTTCTCTGCTTCCTGGGGCCCAGTACTTCCCCTTTCAGAACTCGTAGCATGCTGGGTTGTCTGCCTCCTTCTAGAGTGGAAGTTCCAGGAGGGCAGGGACCGTGTCAGTCTTACTCGCGTCCCCAGCACTGACGCACCCTGCCCGGCGCTCCGCAGCGCTCAATGAAGATTTGCTAAATGGGCGCATGAATGAGTGAATGCGGAATGAAGGAGTGTGCCTTTCCCTGGTCCCTGAAGTAGAGTCTCCGAAAGCCGTCCCCTTCTCTCCTTCTGTCCCCTTGCCCTCCCAGTTCGCCAGGTGCCTCTCATTGTCCCTACAACTCTGGAAACAGCCCGAGGAATCGCACACTAATGGCCCGGTTCCCTCCCTTGTGTGGGGCAGACAGTGGGGTTTGGAGCGAGATGGACTGAGCTTCAAGTACTCTGCCACTTAATAGCTGTGCGCGCACCTTATTTTCTTTATTTACAAAGTGGAGATAACAGGTCCCAGGCCATTGCTCTGAGAAACCCCGGGCCAGCTCGACATGTGGTGAACAGCCATTACGCCCGCGTTCTTTCTCCCTCCCTTCCCCGCGCTCTCTCCTACGCCCCCTCCGAAGCCTTGGGACACAGACACCCCTGCAGTCCAAAAGGTGCCACTGTCTTCCTGTTCCCCTCTCTCTTCCCCGAGGTTGTCCAAGCCACTTGTTGCTGACACCTCCTTCCTCCCTGTCCCTTATCCCCAGCACAAATGTTAATGCCAGCTACAGAGCAGAGTAGAAGCTGAGAAGACACTTGTTGAATGAATGAACCAGTCACCGCGCCCTCCCCTGCGGCGTGTTTGCCAGTGGTCAGACGTGTAAAGTGGTCGCCAGCCCGTTGATGGGCAGGGGCCTCCTGCCATTGGACGACTCCCGTGGCAGGTTGGGCACATGTGAAGACACAAGGCCGAGACTTTACTGAAGAAAGAGGGGGAAGGAGGACGGACGACGAGGAAACACTGCGGCCCTGGGGAATAGGAGACCACCAACGTCAGCGGAGCCCAGGCCCTTCTCTTCTGCACAGCATTAGGTGCCCCTGTGGGTGGACCCCAAGGGTTACATGTGCACGACTGTGTCACGGAGCAGACTCTCCTACAGGGTGTCTGCGATCCCCGCAGCCACAGTCTGTCTTCCCGTGACTTGTACTAAAAGTACAAGTTTCAACAAAAGTGCTTTCTAGATTCGCCCCTTCGTGGTGTCTGTCTCCTGTGGGAACGTGTCCTGTCACACGTGCTCTGAGGCCCCTCTGACAGTCCCCCTCAGGCCCCCCGTGGTCGCCTGTGTCTGGTGAGGTTGAGCACCTGCAACAGGTCCCTCATTCGGGACGACACTGGCCCTCTCTCCGCTCGGAATCTTCCAGTGATGAATAAGGACTGATTTCTCCTCAAAGGATCGCCACCCCCAATTCATTACGCCTGAAAGACTCGGCTCCAGAACAGCTCATGTGCTGTCAGTGAGGTTCAGGCCCTCTCGCTCCCCTCCCTGGGGCTGTCAGCTCCTCCTCGTGACACCCCAGAGGTCGAGCTCTGCGGTGGGGTCACCTTCGTCTGTACCGGGGCCTCCCCCATGATGTCCTCAGAGGATTTTCCTGCCCTGGGGCCATTCATGGGGAGTCTCTCTAGTATCAGGAGATGGGTGGAAATTTTCCCTTACTCAGAATATTCAGAGATTTCCTCTGCTGTATGAATTCTTTGATATTCTGCCAGAATTTGGCCCACATGTCTGGCCACGTGTATCCTTCCGGTGGAGCGAGGTGTGGGCTTAGAGTCTGTGGGTTCCCAAAGGGGTGTCTTCATCGGCATGCAGCCTCCGGATCCTGGCCTTTGGGGGCAGCAGTCCCGGGCCAGCCCCCACTGGTCGGCTCTGGCAGGAGGGCTGAGCGGTGGTGTTGACAGTCTGTCCTCGGCCTGGCCTCACGCTGTGATGACACCACAGGAAATGAGAGTGTCACAATCCCCACTTCTGAGAAGCAAAGCTCTGTGCACGAACACGCCGGCCTCTGGCTGTTTCCTCTTGTGATTACAGCAGTGAGAGAGAAGGGAACGTGGTGGTTGAGCCCTTTTCTTTACGAGGGGAGTGATGAGCGAACTGTGTTCTGAGCACCGTGCTCATTGCTCACGGCCAGTTCCCCCTGGAAGGCAGCCCCTGCCACTCCAAATTCTGCCCATCCTCCAGGCCGGCCCAGAGCCCCCCTCTTCCCTGAAGCCTTCCTGGGACTCTGGGGACCTGCAGTAACTCCCAGCCCGCACTTCTGGGCCTTCACTGCCCGTAAAACCCATTGCACACACATGTCGTGTTCTCGTTCTTTGTGACCTATTTTGCCTTTTTCTTCTCAAACAGACTTAGAGGAAGCTCTCTGAGGAAGAACCGTGTCTTGTCCTTCATATGTCTGCGGCCCCTCTGAGCCTGAGAGACTCAGGACGGTCTGTGGCTTGGCCACTGTGTGCGGCTGCGGACCCTGCGATTGAAGCAGACAGATCTGTGGTTCAGGGCAGTCGTGGATGGAGATGCAGACGTAGTCTGCCTTCCCTGGACGGTTGTCGGTCCTTCTCTTCCAGGACACACGGAAGGAAGGTGATCTTGTCCCTCCCGCCACCCCTTCCCCCGCCCCCCAGGCCGGTCGGCCATGTTGGCCCTGATACTCAAGGTTCTGGATGCGTGGTCCCCCTGCCTCAGCTCTGCCTGGAGACGTTGCCAGCCCCCACGCTCTGTGCTAATCCTGGGCGTGACCTTGGGGTGGAGGAGGCAGGGAGCAAGCAAGAAAGCAGTATTGTTGCAGGGCCGTGTGGTTAAGTATGGCTGGTTCAGAGAGCACCTTCAATGTCAACTTGGAGCTCTTTGAGGGCACAGCCTATGCCTGAGGCGTCTATGTCCGCATGCCTGGCTCAGCACCAGCACGTAGTAGGTACTCATCTGGGGTGGAGCAGGAGTATGCTTCTGTAGTCACCAGCAACCACGGGGGTCACGAGGGAGCGAAGAGAACAGATGTTAGTGACTGGCCTGAAGTCCCGCCTGTGCCTCCCCGGCCCCTGAGGGGGACAGCATCCCCTCGGTCTATGGTGAAGTTCTGGGGTCCAAGCAAAAACGCAGAAAAGCCCCCTTGTCTTTTGTTAGCTGCAAAATCTCCATCTCCCCTCAAAAACGGGGACCGATTCTGTGTATGCATTCAGTTTTCCGTAGCCTTGGAGCTCTCTAACTGTCTTTAAAAGCTAATAGGTTAGAAATGTTCTCGGTGGGATGGTGAGAGCTGGTCCCTAAAGTTGGCAGTCCCCATCAGAACTGCATTTCCTAGGAACCCAGGGCTGCTTCTCAACAGCTGACCCTTGAACCTGGTGCAGTCAGGAGCGGGTCACTGAGCCTCAGGGAAGGAGAGTGAGGCGGGGCCCTTGCTGGCGGCCTCTTCGTCTGCTTTCCACAGGCCTCGGAGCTCACCCCGTCGTCTCTGGGCAGGAGGACAGCTGGCCCCCGGGTTTTTGTGCCCCGGCCTTGGTGGACCATGGCTGGGATGTCATTTATGGTGGGTCTCCAGAATACCCTCTCAAAGCGCTCTCCTAAGACCAGATTGAATAGAAATTATGGAAACGGGTAGAGGAGATCGAAATGGATCACCAATTGGAGACTGTCGGGAGCAGGGGCCTGGAGGGACGGGTGGCTCTGAGCTCAGCGCCCCTAGGGAACTGGTGAAGGCTGCTCCTCAGAAGCTGTTCCAAAGGCTTCTGGGAAACTTGCTCGAGAAACTAGGTCAAGAAGGAAAGCCGTAAAGTGCTTCACGGTGTGTAAATACACCCCCATCCCCATTGCCCCGTGCAGAGGACACCAGTAGAGTCCCCGTCCTGACCAGCCCAGCCAGCCTCTGTGCGCTGGCAAGCTGCTCTGCTCCCTGGGCCTCTGGCCCCGCTCACCGAGAGGCTAACACTGACCAGTGCAGCAACTAGGGGGCGTGTAGTGCTGGCTCTGCCGCGTGTTCCCCGAGCAGTATCTCATTTCATCCTCCCAACAGCCCTGTGACACGGGAGGTTTCTCTCCTCATGGTACAAATGAGAAGGTAAGACTCAGAGAGGTTAAATAACTTGCCCAAGGTCATGCAGCTAACAAGTCGAGGGGCAAGCATTCAAGTCCAGGTCTGACCCCCCAACGCCTTTCAAAGTCCTAGTTTGCCCGTGGCAGGACTTGTAATTCCGTGCACCGGACTAACCAGTCCACTTTCCATCCTATTCACTGGCCATAGTGAAATGGTCCTGCTTCCACACTCTCTTCTTCAGCCTGTCAGGGCCGCAGATGGTTTCTCAGAGGCCAGGAGCGGTCAGGACGGGGCGCTCCCATCCCTATTAAAGCCGTGTTCATGAGGAACGTCAGGCTTTCTGCCGGCAGCCCCTGGAATTTCTGCTGTGGGAATTCGGGAGATCCTCGAGTCATGGCCCGCTCAAGAATCGGTGGTTGTGTCTCAATTCTGTAAGTCAGGTATTCGGGCAGAGCAAGGCAGGAACAATTTAGTTCTGCTCCGCCCTGTCTGAGCCTCAGCTGAAGTGGCCCCACTGACTGTATTTGACTGGGGCGGTTTGACTGGCCATAGGTCAGAGGCCTTGCTTCTGTCTGCCAGCTGGATTCCTCCCCAGTTGTCCATGAGGCGGTCACTGAAGTGGGGCTGAAATGTCCAAAATAGCTTTTGCTTTCATGTCTCTGCTGCCTCTGCGTGCTCCCGTGAAGCCCCTCTCCACAGAGTAGCCTAATCTTATATTGTTGCTCTGGGCTCCACAAACCCCCTATCCATGCTCTTCTCTCCTCTCCTCTGCACCTGTCCCAGCCCACAGCCCGTGTGTGGGGAGCTGTCTCGTTCAGCCGCCGTGGCCATGGCTGTGTTGTACCACGCGACCCTGCTCTTTGCCCCTTCCCCCCCACCCCCACACCAGTCATTGGACCAGGATCCGTTACAGGCTGGCCAACGATTTTGGAAGTCACCTGACTCGAAAATACAAGGAAAAGCCAGTCAGACCAGCCAGAGTCCCTTTTGGGAAGTTTGAATCAAAAAATCAGAGAGGATAGGCAGTGTGTGACAAGATGTCACGAGGGCAAGTAGGGCCTGGCTGGACCAGTGTGCTGGCCAGGATTAAAAGAAGATTAAATGAAGAAGAAAGTTAGAGGTTGAAGAAAAACAAAAACAAGCTCTGACTTGGAGAGGATACCCTTACCGGGGAGGGACCAGTGAGCCTGATTTTGGCAAGAGGATAGAGGAGGGAATGACGAGGGCAGAGCTGGGACTCTGTGAGAGGCAGAGAGGGCAGTCCGCCCGGGAGGCACCCTTGTGCCCCACAGCTCACTAGGTCCAGCCTCGCCTGTGTGTGTCATTGCAGCAAGCTCTTTACTTTGGTGTCAGTTGGCTTGCTGGTGGGCATGTGACTTCATTCTGCCAATAAAACTTATGAAGGAATGGCTGGGGGACCTTCTAGTAAGAATTTTGCTTTTTGATTAAAAGAGAGAGAGTGAAGAGGCCTGTCCGTTCTTCCTGCTTTGAACGTGGATGTTTAAGGGCATGATACTTGGAGCTGCAGCAGCCATTTTGAGACCAGGAGGCAACAAGACCAAGGGAAAAACCAACATACCGAGGTTGGCTGAGCAGACAGACAAAAAGAGCCTGGGTCCTTGATGGTATTGTTGAGCCACTCCACCTGTCCTGGAACCCCTATTTCCATTCTTATTGATATATTCGTTAAATGTCTTTATTTTGCAAGCAGATTTCTGCTACATGCAGCCTAAGGCAGTCTTAACCAGTATAGCACTCCTCTGACCTCTTCATCCTCTAACTCTGAACAACTCCTTCGAGCCCCGTGGTTCTTGGTGTAGCTCCAAATAGAAAGTCAGCCCAAGTTCAGACTTTGGAAATCTTACTCATATGGTAGGAAATAAAAGTCAAGATTGCTCACAGCCGACAGAGCAATTCTGGCACTTAGCCCTGACCCCTGGCCCCTACAGGACACAGACAAGGAAAGAAAGGTAGGTTAAGGAAAGTTCTAGATGCATGAGTCTTCTAAAATGGGGCTTCATGATGAACTTTAGAAAGAAGATCAGTTTGTGTATTGGGCTCAAGGATTAATGTCTGAGATGCAGAACGTAAGTACAGGCCAGAAAGCCATGGAAAGCATGCGGAAGGAGCCGCAGTGGCTGCCTGGAATGGGCAGGTGGTGGGCGGGTTGGATGACTCGTGCAGAAGGAGGCCAGTGAGCACAGCAGGAGTTTATGAGCTCCAAGTACCAGCTGGAAGGAGTTTATGGCAGCTAGAGTGAAACCGGTGGAAAATGAGGCCTTTTAGTTACTCCCCAGCCAGCCTGAGTGACACTGTAGATCCTTTTAGGAATGAGGTGCCCTGAATTGTGGCCGTCCTGTGTGTGGGCACGCCCACGCTCTTCGTTCTTTGTCTCTCTTCCACCACCCCCTTTTTTTTCTGCCATTTCTTCCTGTCTTCTCGAAGCAAAGCCAGGAGCCAGGATCCCTTCCACCTCAATGGGAGAGTGGATGTCGCGGGAGGCAAGGATGTCTTGGGAAGACTGAATCCTAGCCTGGGCATGGCGGTTAGGTTGGAGGAGAGAACGCAGTCGGTTGACAAGGAGCAGAGGAAGCTTTCTTCTGACCCACCTTTCATCAGGCAGTGTGGTTTTTGTGTTTCTTCAGCACAAAAAAATGTACCTGATCCTTCCCTCATGAAATGAGAAGTTGAACTCAAGAATGCTAGCCCTCCCTCTTTCAGTTTCTAGCTTTAGATACGTACCAGAGATAAACTGGCATCCTCCTCAGGTACCCCACAAAGACAGATTACTCCATTCCCTTCAGAACTCTGGAAAAGTCACCCACCCGGTTCCCATCTCGAGATAATCTTCAGCGGTATAGAGATGGGGCCCGTAGAAGTTCATCACATTAATGGGGCCCAAACATGGATGTGTTGCGATGATATTAGAATTTGCTGCCTCAGATTCTGCCACTAAGCCTCAGGCCTCAGCACAGTCCTTATGCGTATCTTATGGATACAGAGCCCGCGTGTCTTCTGGAGTCCTGCCCCAGAGGTCAAGACCAGGCCAACCCTTTTACCTACTACATTACTTAATTCATTCAGCAGAAATGTACTGAATGAATACCTAGTAGAAGTAAAAGTTAAGCTTATAAAAGCAGTGATAATATTAGGAAGATAAGTCATTAAAGACCAAAAAAATCCCGTGAGATAATCAGAGAAAGGAACGAACGCTTTGGTTGGGATGGAGAAAGCAAAAAGTTGAAATCCTTAGTTTGATAGGATTGATGCTTTAATGTGAAACTTAATAAGCCCTAAGTCCCCCGTGAAGTTTCCCCCTATATCACTAAGGATTCTCTGAAATCCAGCAAGGAAGAAACTGAAGGCTTTTCCTCATTCTTGACAAGCAAGCTTTTTCTCCAGTGTGAATTAGCCTGATTACTGACTAAATAATCGCCCGCAATCTTGACAACACGAGAGTCTTTCTTTCCTGTGAGTCCTCCCATGATGAGAAAGAGCTACACCAGCCCCACGTGATTTTCCACAGTGATTATGCTCCCAGGCTTCTCTCCAGGCTGGATGACCCTCCACACTTCCTCTAGATGATTCTCCAGCTTCATCACAAATGACCGGCTGAGTCCGGAGCAAATTAGCTGACGTTGTCTGCGGGTGGGACACTGACTGAAGGTTCCTTCTCACCCATTGTGCTCACAGGGCTCCTCTCTGCTCTGAAATCCCAGATGTCTAATTAGCTCTGAGCACCGTCTGAAAGCATTTTTACATCCATTACGTGCATATGGTTTTTCTCCAGTGTGAATTCTCTGACGTTGAATGAGCTTTACTTTGCTGAAAGCCCTCACATTTATTGCATTTGTAGAGTTCCTATTGCATGTGAATTAGCTGCTGCCATGTGGTGCTGGGATGCTGGCAGATGCCTCCCGCAAACGGGGATTCTCTCCAAGATGAATGTTACAATGTTCAGTAGGATGGGAGCCCCGAGGAAAGCTGCCTGTATTCATAACAAAGATGTTCTCTCCGATATGAATACTGTAATACTGAATAAATTCTCAATTCTAAGATTTGGCCACACTTATCTTATTTTTGGGTTTTCTCACTTCTAAAGAATGTCAACAGAATCGCAAATTTTTCCCCTATTCATCACATTTGTGAGATGGGGTCCCTAATGGTTCTCTAGGATGTCTCCATATTCACAGACATCTCCAAACTCAGGGACCCGGTCAGCATCCCACGGGGACCTTCTCCTTGTGTCCACCTATGATTCTACTGTTGCAGAAAGTTCCTGCTCGGGTCAGCTTGTTCTTGGTCCCAGTCTCACAATAGGAAATTACAGAGAACGTAAATATCAACCATTCTCTTTTAAAGGACAAGAAAATTTATTGGACTAAGAATGAAAGTTTTGGGGAGAAGATTTAAAGATAAGAGTGACTTTGGGCAAACATGAAATGATGAGTGTGACAGACTGCTGGTTACTTATATTCGCTTTTTCTTTCTTAACCCAATTTTGGTCGTAGTGATGTGGATCAAGGCTGCCCCAGGGAGAGAAGCCCAGGGCATGCTGGCTTACATGCCGATCTATTTGACCAGATTCATATCTAAAGTTATACGACCACACAATAACCAGACCCCATCTGCACTGAAACCATTTAATGACTTTTTACACCATTTTTTCTTTTTCCAGTAAAAATAAGTCACGTACCCATGCCTTAGAAATTTAGCCCTAACCCTCAACACATTGCAGCAGCAGTTCTGACTGCCCATGAGTCCTGTTCCCATGCCAGCGGCAGCAGGAGCTCCTCTTGCCCGTGGGTCCTGTCCCCATGCAGCAGCTCTTTACTGCCCATGGGTCCTGTCCCCATGCTATTCCATACTATTCTCTAAATAAAAGAGCACTACTGCCAGACCTTGAGTGTCCAAGAAATCTTTCTTTCGACTCTTCGGCTCGCCGACCCTGCATCAGTAGCGAGAAATATACCCATTAAAAATACCTTTTCTAGTGACTGGGAGGGAGCACGTGGGAAGTTGCAAGGAGGCTGTTCTGGATCTGGATGCTGGTCAGACAGATGTGTTCACTTTGTGAAAATCCATAAGTGGTATACTTATGATTTCTGCACTTGATATGATGAAAAGTTAAAAAAAATCACGTCCCATCCTCCCATGCAGCCACGGGACAATTTTGGCAAATGAGATGTAAGCAGAATTGGGCTTCCAAGAAAACTGGTTAAAGGGAGCAGACTGGGGGGCAGGAGCCTTTTGCCTTCTCCCTTCCTGCCCCAATTCTTCCTGCCGGATCCTGGACGTGATGCCTGAAGGTGCAGCAGCCATCTTGTGAGCATGTGGAGGAGGGCCACGTGCAAAAGATGGCTCAGTGAGCCTAAGGAATGTGCCTGGTCCCTGGTGGCCTTCAATTTCTCACCTCTGGAATTTTCACTTTTTTTAGTCTAGTGAGCGAGAAATGATTTACATTTGACTCTAAGGTTGGGCATCTTTTCCTGTGTTTATTGCATCTCCTTTTTTTTTCTATTTGTCTTTTCCTTTTTTCATTTGCAAAAGTTCTGTATTCATTGACAATATTAGCCCTTTGTATGTTAAATGTGTTGTAGATGTCTTTCCGCGTTTGTCATTTGTCTTGAGTTTTGTGTGTGTGTTTTAAACCAGAGGTTACTACATTTTTATTTTATGGCTTCTGAATTTTGCATAATGTTGATAGTTCTTTTCCCGCTCCAGGATTGTTAAAATGGTAATCCTTTTTAACAGTCCTTTCCTGGTTTCATTCTCTTATGTTAAAATCTTGGATCCGAGTGGAATTCCGTGTGATGTAAGGAAGGAGGTAAATGTCCAGCTGTCCCCCGTCACCTCCCAACACTGTCCAGGGAGTACCCGTCTCCCCCAGCTGCTCTGAAATGCTGCCTTGATCGTGTGTTCACTTCTCACTTGAATTGGGTCTTTTTCCTGAATCTCTACTTCATTTCTCTGCACCTGCTCTGGCACATCATTTCAACTGTTTTTCTTTATAAGTTGTTTTAATATCTGCTAAGATGACTCCCCTCAGTGCTGTTCTTTTTCAAGATGCTCATGGTGAAAATGAGGTGGATAAGTTGGAGTTGGTGAGAGTCACTCAGAGACCGATGCATGTCCTTGAGAGGGTCAGGTACATGTGGCCACTTGTCTACATGGCCAAGAAATTCAATAAAATGAAGATGGATGAAAGAAGAAGAAGATCACATTTGCCATGACGTCAGGGATTGCGCAAAGATTCCTTAATACAGAGAGCATTTTAATAATATCCTTACTTTAAGTAATCATCCTTTCACTCTGCAGTGTATGCCTAGAACCATTTTGTTAAAAAAAGTTATGTCTTCTCTTGACCATTACTCATATCTGGAAACTCAACATCAAATAAATTACGGTTCTGAGAAATACGTCATGAAAGCAAAAACAGAAAAGCGAGGATGGTCTTTCCTAATAGAAAAGGGCACCGTTCTGCGTCAAGTCCTAGTCCCTGGAAATGTGTGTCCTCGAGGTGACTGTTTTACAGGCCTCAATGTACTGTGAAGGCTCCACAAGGCACAGACCATTCTGCCTGTCTTGTCTAGTCTGAAAATAGCCCCATCGGTGACAAAAGGACAAATATAATATTAACAATCGTGCTTCCCTTTTTGGAATTTAGGAGAGTCATGAGGAAATTACGTGTATTAAGTCATGAGGAAATTATCCTGTTAAAATAAGCTTTCCAGAGAAAACCAAAAGGATTCTATTTCTTCTGATAAATTTCCCTGAAACAGAAGCATTCATAATAATTCTGTTGATCTGATAGCTGCATATAATTTTAAGTTTTTCCTAAAAATGGTTATTTTAGCATCTGGAGGCCTCGTTAGCACATTAGTTTGGAGCGCACGAAAGTATTAAGAGAACTAACCTCTCACATCCCGCCTGCTTGTTCATCTTTTCCTTGCTGCATAAATGCTTTATATTGGTGTAATGAACATTAAAGTGAAACGTTTGGAAAAATATGGACCCAGTAGAAATGAATTCCTCCAATAAGTCAATTTTTGTAATGGGAAAACAAGAAGTGATATTGTCTGTGCATGGTGACTTCCTTCCAAAGAATACAGTATAGAATGGGGGAAAAAGAGTAACTGTGCAGTGGAGAAGCCTGACAAACGCTACCTGAGCCAGGTGACCACGGTCAACGTCAACAGTGATAGACACGTTGATGATATGGACCCTTGAGATGAGGTGATGATGATGGCAGCTTTACCTCTGTGGTCTGTGTCCCCCAAACCCATAACACCGGTCTAATCAAGAGAAAAACATCAGACAAATCCCAACGGAGGGACATTCTACGAAATACCTGACTCCTCCAGTCTGTCAAGGTCATCAAAAAGAAGCCAACGCTAAGAAACTGTCGCATCCAAGAAGAACCTCAGAAGACATGACAATTGTAATGTTGTGTCCTGGATAGGATCTTGGGACAGAAAAGGACATTAGGTAAAAACTAAGGAAATTTAGATAAAGTATGAACTTTAATAATAATACTGGTTCATTAATTATGACCAATATACCATACGATGTTAGTAACAGGGGAAACTGGGTATGGGGTATATGGGAATTCTCTGTACTTTCTTCGAAACTTTTCTGTAAATCTAAAACTATTCTAAAATTTAAAAAAAAAAGCTAAAAACATATGAAAGTATTAGAAGAGGTAGATAATGGTTACAGAAAGATGACACAGATGCAGTTTTCTCCATTCTTTCCACTAAGTACAACTAAAACTCTGCACATAAAGCATAACACAAATACAAGAAGACTCTGAAAGGTGAAGAGAAGAAGGGACCATCTAGAGACCTTGGGACTCAAGGAAAAACATGGCAATGAGTTCCCTGGATTTTCTTTTTGCTTTCTGTATATCCTGGATTAGGCACAGGAGAAGCCTGCAACTGAGAAAGGCCAATACGTGCAGACACACACACACACACCCAAAAAAGCCCTAATCAAAGCCTGCCTCCTCTGCTCTGTCTAACCAAAGAACCAGGAAAGGGGCAGCCCGTTAGGACAAACCTTTTTAACAATGTTCACCCTACTGCAGGCAAACACCATGGAAAAAACCACACCGCAGTCCCCCTCCCACCTCACAATCAGTGGAGATGGAGTGTGAGTGTGGACTCCCACTCTCACCTCGTGCTCATGGGGCACTCCTCCCCTTCCCACAGCGTCATCAGAGACCAAGTGGGGAGCTTGGACTTTCGTCCCTGCCCTGTGTAATGAGGCAGCATCCACTTTGCCCCACCAGTGTGGTGTCAGCAGAGGCCTGCTAAAATAGGTTTAAATAAGATTCAGACTCTCATAATACCCAAAATGTCCAGGATACAATAGAAAATCACTTGTAATATCAAGAATCAGAAAAATCTAAACTTGAATGAGAAAAGACAACAGACACCAACACTGAAGTGACGCAGATGTTGGCATTATCTGGCAAGAACTTTAAAGCGGCTGCCATAAAAATGCTCCAGTGAGCAATTATGGACATTCTTGAAACAAATGAAAAAACAGTCTTAGCAAAGGAGCAAAAGATTTATATCCAACGGAAATTTTATAACTGAAAAATACAATAACCAAAATTAAAGCTCATTTAATGGACTCAGAAACAGGATGGAGGTGACAAAGAATCAGTAAATGGAGATTTATCAATGGAAAGCACTCATACTGAACAACAGAGAGAAAAATGACTGAAAAAAAAATTCACAGAGCCTCAGGCACCTTTGGGACAGTAACAAAAGATCTAACATTCATGTCATTGAAGTCCCAGAAGGAGAAGAGAGAGTGTGGGGCTGAAAGATATTAAACGAAATAATTGTTGAAATTTCCCCATATTTGGCAAAAGGCAGAAAACCGCAGATTTGATAAATGCAAAGAAATCCACACCAAGACACATAATCAAACTTCTGAAAACTAAAGACAAAAAGTCTTGAAAGCAGCTATAGTGTTTCTTGAAAGAAACAATGCATCACCTATAGGTATAATTTGAATGATGGCAGATTTCTCACCAGAAGCCATGGAA